TCTCCATATCGTCTCATGTTTCTCTCACTCTACTTTCATCTGTCACCCCTCACTCTCCCAGCTCTCTTTCTCCCTCTATCACGTGTTCATCTCCACAGGGCTGCAGATCTGCCACACTGGGGTGCACCTCCTCATGACTCTCCAGGCTTCCCCCAAATGAGAAGAGGAGCTGGGGGGCGAGGGACAAATGAGGATTTGTCCATCAGTGCACTGCTGGGCTCCACTCATGTGGAAAACGCTGGACGGATGTGCTAGTTCCCAATGTGTATTGATTGAGCGGTTGAAGGGGGAAGCAATGGGGACACGGTCAAAGGAGGAGGGACATGGAGAGTGGCAGCAGGGTGTGCTGGGGTGGGGTTTGGGAGGCGGGGTTCTGGGGTTTTTGAAGTGTGAAAATGATGTCCTGAGGGTATTCCACCCATTCATTCCACCCAAGTCTGGACCCCTGTTTCAGGAAGCATGTTAATGTACTTTCAGTTTCTTGGGGAAAGACGGAACAAAAAAGCAGCAATGGGCATTGAGCCGTCACTGGAATGGACACAGAACAAAAAGAACACATTCCAAGCCCCCCCACCAACCCTTCATCTGAGGTCTACACTTTAATGCTGAACACCCATTTTGCCAACTCTGTGCCAAAACCTCAATTAGGCCCCTCAGCCCCACTGCCAATAACACACTCCAAATCACAGAAAGTCCCATAGTTCAGTTGTGGAAAAATGGGGATAATCCAACAATGAACCTGGACATGTCAAGATGGGGATAATCCAACAATGAACCTGGACATGACAGCGTATGACAGTGTGTACGTGAGACTGTCATGAGCGTATTGTAGGACCACGGCTGTGAAAAGTGTTGGCAGTGGGGGTGAGAGATTCCCTCTCTATCTTTGTCCTGACGGAGGTGACAGGCTAGGGTGTCTGTGCCAGTGCTGCTCCAGCATTGTTTCAGCATTGTTTTGGCATTGTGGTCTGGCCTAAACACAGAAAGTTGCATTGTGCTGACTCTCGGTCTCTTGAGTTGCCCCATGTGTCCATCGCTCAGCGTGTCAATACAGACGCTCCTTTTAATGAACATCAGATTCATGGCACTGATTCACCACGAGCTGATGAGAGCACTAACAGACACGGCATGGTGGAAAGGCTCTTACCACTACTGGGGCCATCAATATCATGTAAACAGATCTGGGCACAGTACATCTGTACTGTAGCTGAACAGAATGATGGCCATTAGATAGCCAGGCTGATTTCATTAACCTCAGAGCTGTCCTGGTTTTAGAGGAAAAATTACATTTTTTTTCTTCAGCTATTTGTGAGCTATTCTTTCACCCTCATTAGTGATAGACATCTGTTCTGCCTTGCCGCACACTGTTTCTCAACAATCTGCTCGTATTTCCACCTAGCACACCTCTGTAGTGGAGGGAAAAGAGATGCTCTTCACTTATTCATGAACAAACAGAACCTGTGCCAAAACACCATGTGCCAGCAGGCATAGGCATGTTAATGTTTTCTGATCCTGGGGAATCTCTGTGTGCGCTGTTCCAATTGACCTCTCAATTGATTTGGTTTGATCACCAATTAATTGAATACAGACTTGTGCTTGACATCTCTTGAGAGATATCCATTTACAGTCCTTGAAGGAAAAAAAATGAATTTCTGGGGGTGCGTTTGTGCTAAAAAAAAGATAAAAGTAGATAAAGTAGTTCTGAAATATATGTGTATTCAGCTCTCAGTTGCCTGATAAATTCATTATGATAGGCCCTATTCTACTGAATTGAACTTACTGTAATTAAATAAGTTTAATTCAATTAGTTCAATGCTTATTTGTATTTCTAATTTGTTTCTAAAGGCCGCATGTTTTTTCCCCATCAAATACCTTTACTTTTATCTTTTTTTAGAGCACAAGCACTACTTTCAATGACACATTTCTTTCATCAATGACATTAAGCAGATGACTTTCAAGAAATGTCAACCGCAAACCATTATTCAATTACCAGCTCAAAATCTATTGGCACAAGCGCTCGCTTGGAACAAAAGACTCCATACACGGGACTACCCCAGAACCGGGAGTGGGAAAGCACTGCTGCAGAGAGATGCAGCAGGCCCATATACTCTCTAAATCAGCCTTTCCAACCACAGTCATTATCCACTCAACGCTCTCAAAGGCATCACTGATGAGGAAGACCAAAAATAGCTGTGGTGATGGCCGATACTGTACTATTGAAGGAAACTGAAACAGAGGTCCTGAGATTCACAAACCGCTCTGCTGCGGAGCTCTCCTTATCAGGGAGAATTATTTTGGCGTGATTCTCAGTACAGCACCCTCCCCACTACAGCCCCCCACCTTGCCTGAGGGCTACGAGCAGCTCTGGCTGTCAGTTATCGGAGTGAGATAGCGCGCACCTCGTCGTCGCAGCCAGCACCTCGAGCTTGACCTCATCCACGCCACGTGCGGCCGGCCCAGAAGTAAGGGACCCTGGCCTCGTTCCAGCCTCCACAGAAAGTAGGCCAAGAGCTTCACTCCCCCCCTCCCAGCTGTGGAGCCAAAGGAAGCTGAACGGCCAGGGCTGGAAGGGCGGTGGTGGGGGGGGGGAGGCTGATGGTGGTGGAGGGGCGGCAGTGACTGCCCATCCTGTCTCAATTAGACATAATGGATCTGCAGGAAAATCAGGGCATGGCTGAAGCTTTCACAGGGGTGTGCAGTGCGTGGACTCCAAGAGGCAGGCATGTGAATGTCTCTGCATGAGAACCGGTCTGAAGTCTGACCATCCTCTCATTTAATGCTGTTATTTAAGTAGCCAGAGGTGTTCAATGCCACCCTTGAAGCTTAAAGCAGCACTTTATTGATGTTGTAGGAGCAAAAGAGGGAGTACAGTAAACAGCAGGGCTGGGAAACAAATGTGGCTCTCTGAAGTACAGCCCAGTAATCGCCTCTTGGGTGAAGCTTTGCCAAGCCTGCACAATGTCACCATGGAGAAGTATCATCTGATCAGAAGGTGTGGAACTAAGGTCCACCCATCCTTTGGATGAGACATTAAACTGAGGTCCTCACTCTTGATCCCATGGCATTTATCATAAAAAGTTTAATTTACTAAATATTTTCCTCCCACCACCTCAGCTGATGTGTGGTGACCAACTGAGTACCACCATCCATGTACAGACCTTTGTGAGTCATGAAAGATGCTACAGAAATTCCTTCAATCCCGCTGTGCTTACAATCCCTTGTCCGACCCTACAAACTGAGCCAAATCGCTCCACTCGGCTACCTCTGTTCACCTGGCTGCCACACCCACCCGAGGTACTGCCACCCGGTGCTGCCATTTCTCCACTCTGGTTCCACAGTAACGGAATGAGTTGCCAGCACTGATTAGGACCGCAAAGTCTCCTGCTATCTTTCAGGTAGACAGAAAACCCATCTTGTACTATGCACTTTGTCTGGCAACATTCCCCTGTATGTGAACTTGGTATTAGTGTAGCACTGAACTTCAGGTATGTTGCTTTCAACCCAGATTTGTTGCCTATGGTTGCCCATGATTTCCTGGTTAGTGTCTGCACTGATGTTGCTTGTCATAACGGCCTTGTAAATCACTTTGGATAGAGGACCTGCCAAATGAATAAATGTAATATAATTTAAATGCAATCCATCATTATTTTAATCATAGCCTGGCCCTGAGCACTGTTTATTTTTTTAGGAGAAGGATGTACATCAAATGTGTCACCAGAGGTACTTCTGCCTCCTTCACACAAGCCTCCTTTTCATGTTTTCAAGAGAAGCTCTGTACTGAATCCCAGAGTTCCTGCTCCTCTTGGAATTCCAGTCCTCACGCCAGAAGATTTTAGCAACGACACAGTACGCTCTTCAACTGGTGCCCCGCATGTTTGGTAATGACAAACTTTGTGTAGCTCTGCCATGCTGTTTTTATCTAGCATACACGAGCTGGGCCTACATTACACTATTACAGGGAAATAACAAGGCGTTGGGTTTCAGCTTTACATAAACAGACCCAGCTGTAGCCTTTGCAAAAGTACTGTTTAAAAGGATACCAATAAGGACCACACCATGACTACAAACTGTACTGAATAGAGGGCAATGGAGTAATCCACAATGGAGTAAACGTACAGCGCAGCAGCGTCTGAAACTGTTCCACGAGGGAATAAAAACCAGTTTTAATTCGACAGTGAATGTATTTTATTGATGAAGACAGCCAGCGAGCACCAGTAAACACAACCTGACAGTTGTTTAAATCATTCATTGCCGTTAAGTTTATTCGACTTGCGGTACAGCTCTGTGGCGTTAGTCAGTTGCTGTGACATCTTGACCTCAGCAATCAACAACCTGGCCATACACGCAGGGGAAAGGAAAAGCGCAGCCTGTTAAATTAGATTGTGAATGAAAGATGAATGCCGGGTAATGGGTTTAATTCACTTGCTGCGGCTCACTATTTTCGGAAGATAATCCATTGTTCATTATCGCTCATCTTCACATCCAATTCTCCCTCATTTCCATCTCCTGATTCCTTGCTCAGCCAATGTGTAGAGCCATTACCCCATATTTACCATTTGCTGTCACCATTTCCCATCATGCTCCATGCTTCCACTGTATAATCCCCGCATCTCTTTTTGTGACAGCCCCCCAGTGTCACCCTATCACTCTCTTCCTTTCACTCCTTCTCAACCAATCTTTCTCACCAAGGCCCCTCTCTTTCTCTCTCTGTCTTTCTCTCTGTCTCCCTTCCCTCTGTCTCTCTCTCTCCACATACATAGAAGTGCCAGTAACCCACAACAGACACTTGATGATCCCTCTCACTCTGCATGAGGCACCCCTAGAATAGCCCATCAGAACATAACACCTATCCTGTTCTCATCTTCCTCCAAGCCTTTCTGCCATGGACATACATTACATTATGGTCATTTAGCAGACACTCTTATCCAGCGTGACTTACACAGGTTAGCTGGATATTCACTGAGGCAGTTCTGGGGTAAGTACCTTACCCAAGGGTACAGCGGCAGTACCCCGGCTGGGAATCGAACCAGCAACCTTCAGTTTTGAGCCCTGATCCTTACCACTACGCTACACTGCCACCCCACTCACCATATTCACCGTCAGATGTAAGAGAGCTTCATGCCTATATGCTCATTGCTAGTGATTCCACACAGAGTTATATCAGGCCGCACTGTAAAGGGGTCTGTGTAATGAGTGACCCCCTTGTTCCTGTAACACCATGAGAAGACACAAAGACAGGCCGAAAGGAGGAGAAATGCCAGAGTGCTACATGAAATAAGATTAAGGAGCATATCAATATGCAAGACCCCCTGTGACAGAGGATCTGAGATGAATGACCACTGACTGCTTGCACGAACTGTCACATGTCCAAGTATAGCACATACAGACACAAACACGTACAGATACACAAACACAACCACAAATGCGCACACACACACACACACACACACACACACACACACACACACACACATAGGCTCTGGAGTGGAGCAAAACATGCTGCCAGCTCTCTGTGTAACTGCTATGTACCAGGAGAGAAAGCGAGTGAGTGAGAGAGGGATAGGGTGGGGGGTGGGGGGGATGCTGCCACTTCGCATTCAGCTCCCTACCTCATCACCTCTTCCACAGTGCTGAGAACTAGGTCAGTGCGAAGGGGGTTGGGAGTGGGGGGTGTGTGCTTTCCTCTCTCTCTCTCCCTCTCCCTCTGAGAGCGTTCCTCACTCCATCTTATCTCACTGCTACAACTGGAGGCTGTGACAGCATGAGACGTGCCCCCCCACCACCACCACCCCCCTCTCATTTATTCATTAACGCAGTGCTCTCACCATAAATACAGGTCTCAGTCTCTCTGGGTGCTTTTGCTGCCATTTCTCACCGTATCACGCTTTCATCTCTCATTTCTCTTTGCCGTGGGAGATGGGCCTCTACCCCCTCAAAACCCCACCCCTCCCCTCCCTGTTTCACTTTGTAAGTACACAGGATGCTGGCATTGTGGGATGAATGGGGGACTGAGCTAAGGGAGAAAGAGCATTGTTCTAGCACCGCAAATTAATAACATTCTAGAGGGGCGATCAGGCAGGGCAGCTACAAAAGGCTTACATAACAAAAACCTTAGCAATGGCTGAATGCCGGCTGCTGAGGAAGAGGCCAGATCACAGAGACGCCGGGATAAGGAAGCTGTGCTGAGAAAGACAGGGCTCTGACTGAGACCAGCGCAACATGGATCACTGGAGCATATCCTATCCTGATTGGCTCTGACTGGATGATGACATGGGGCTGATTGGGGTTAACTGCGTTGTCATCAACTGTCACAAAGAAGGGAAGCGTTTGTCCGGTGCTGGATGGATATGTGGACGGGTGCTTTGTTCATAAGTATAAATTGAGCACCCCTATTTAAAAACAGCTCTGGAGGTTGGGGATGCACCTGTGAATGGGATTGGGGCACACGAGCTGGTTCATGTCTGTCTACTAGAGCATGTGTGTGAGAGGAATCTGTACCAATCACCAAAGTTCAACCATCACTAAAGCAGCCACTAAAAATATCTCCACCACAGATACAGACATCTCCTAACCTTAAGAAAAAAGGAGCATTGTGGAAATTCAGCACTTTTAGCATGTATGTGTCTGCTCACCCTGCCTGTCCCTTAGGGAGGAAACCGTGTGTGTATGCGTACATCTGTGATTGTTTGTATGTGTGTGTGTGGCCCCCTGCCCTCCCTTCCCACACATGAAAGAAGCATTGATGCCCCAGCCCTGCATGCCACCAGCCCATGGCTGAGTCTGTCTGTAGTCAGGGTGACTAATAGTCTGGGCTGCCCTGGCTCCATACCCACCAGTGTTACTCAATCACTCTCCCAGCTCCTGTGACCTCCCATCATACAGAGCACAGAACCCGTACACGACCCATTTGGATCAACGCTCGCCTTTGGTGGGCTGCCGTCATTACGGCATTAATTGGATCCATTAACCTCCAGAGGAAAATCGTGGTGCTGCCACTGAAGCGTGGCTCGTGGTGATGACCTCATATTATCTCCACCTCCGCCCCCACAGCCCTCTCTCATTACTGGCTGGATGCCTAGCAGGACAGCCTTGCTGGACATCTGAAGAGGGACCATGGGAGAACTGCTGTGCTGCAGGGAAGGGGTCTAATGAGTACCACTATGAAATATGGCCAAAGGATACAGTGCTGTTTACTGTGCAACCCAAATAGCACATCATTGGTATCTGGTAAATATTGGCACATCATTGGTATCTCGGAAGCCTGATAAACCTGCAAACAAGATATGAAGAAAAGCATTGTATTTTGTACTTTGATTCATTTTTATGAGGTAAAAAGGCTGTAGCCTGTCATGATACTGGTGGCAGAGAATTCAACCCATGAGAGCTAGCAGCATCAATACATAAATAATAACCGAGTTGGATATCTTCAGGATTGCATTTGTTTAGTTTGTGCGGTTTCTGGATTTCTGTGCATGCCAGAAGCAGTGAGGGTTTAACCATGTTTGGAGATTTGAAGTGACAGCCGAGCGGGGAGGTCAGTGGCTGCAGTGTCGTTTCCTGCACCGTTTAACCCCTGCCGGTGTGAACGCTCTCGGCCCCGACGTGGGAAACCTCTCTTCTGTTTGTTTTAATGCAAGACACAGCACAGTGTGTCGCAGTTTTGGCAGAGTTTGTGTAAATATCACTGAAGGTACCCCCACGCGCTCCTGCGAGTCCCTCATCACACGCACACATATATAGAAACACACAGTCAGATGAGTGTGCACACACACGCATATGCACACGCACACACACACACAAAGGCGCACTGAGCACATTCCTAAGTCACTATCTCATCAGCTATTTAAAACGCTGCTAGTGAATCAGGTTACAGGCTGAATTGACAAATGACCATCGCAAACCTTGTAATGGAGAGGTTTACGTAATTTCACGGTACATTTGCTGGCGTTGCATTCCGTATTAATTTGAAACCGTGCTTTCTGTAGTTTTTGGGCTTTCATATTTTTTGGAATACAAAGCGTTTTTCAAATGAGAGGCAGGGGGTATAAAGGCAGAGAGAATTTGTGATGAGTAGTCCTGGGAGACCCATGGAAGCTCTGCACATTTGTGTGTATGTGTCAGTGCTCCTGCTCATACGTGTGTTTGTGTCTGTATGTGTGTCACACTGATCATCTTCCTCATGTCATTCCACATGCCAATTTAAGGGATATATTTAGACTAGAGTTATTTTCTGGAAGGATCAGAGCCTGACCAGTCAACAGCCCACAACACTACCCCAGGTACAAAGATGACAAAGATGGAAAAATAAACTAAAAATAAAAGGTCCACTAGTAGAAATAGAGCTTTTAGAGCTGAGCATTATCCATCATCTTCCTTCTGTGCGAAATTTCTCAGGAGCATCGCTTCCTCTGTGATGCTCCACAGAGAACTGACATCTCCCAGTACCCTCTGGGCACAGAGTGATGGCCGATAAGAGTGTCTGTGAAGGAGTGTGCCTACGTGCATTTGTGTGGTGATGAACAGAGATGAAAAAGTGAAATTATGTGCCTCTCCCGGTTTCTCCCTCTCTCTTCCCGTGCCAGATAAAGGAGCAGCAGAAGAAGAGGACAGCCTTCCTCTGGGAGAATGAGAGGAGGAGTAACAGAATTCCCTACTCGTTCTTTTCCTCTAACAGAAAGAGAAGCACGGACAGCCCAGTGTAATGGCCCAGATGGATGTACCTGTTTAACAGTGCCACACTCAGCTCTACTGAGCTCTAATTACAGTTTCACCGCACTTTCACTGCACAAAACCATGGCTTCCCAGGGGCATCATGCTAAAAAGGGCTGTAGGAAGCACGGTGGCAAAGGCATTATTACCTTTAAATTTTGTTCTGGGAGATAAAAGGTGATGAAACTTCTGCAAACGTGTCAGTTCTGACAGTATAGAGTTCCTAATGAAATGACCACAGAACACATGGAAGGCTTTTGTTAGCAATGATACTGTTACAAGCCCTGTGATGCACTGCCGGAACTGATAAAATAAAACCACTTCAGAGCATATCAAGGCAATGTGCAAAGGAATGGATGGCTTCAAGCCTCCATCAAAACAAATACATAATACGCTTTTGTTTACAAGAGCCATAGGTCACATTAATCCGCCTTTCCCTCGCAGGGGAAATATTTCTTGAAAACTTGCTTTCTGGAAAAAAACGGAGGGGGGATTCATCCTCAAGGGATGTTATTAATAGATATTTCATTTAGTCTTCCTTGTAAAATAAAAAGAAACCATTTCCACATCTGGCGACTATCCTTCAGAACTTTATACAGGCACCACGCATGCCAGATTTTCAGGCTCAATGTTTGTCTCATTTCTTTTTCTTTCATTTTTAAAGGGGGGCAGGCAGGGAGGGCTGACTGGATTAGTCCTAACTGATTAAAACAAATTAGGCCAAGAGAAATAAAGGCGCACAGTTGCCCTGTCTGTTCCGAAGGCCATCTGTATGCATTACCAGTTTTTACAGTAAATATCTGTGGAATACGATCATATGAGTCACATGCTGCATGGATATGAACCAAACAGTAACACAAAAGGAGGGTTCAGAACTACAGCCTCTTCCACAGGTGAGAGTGTGGTGAGAGACAGGCAGGGAATCTGAGACTGGTTACCAGGAAACCACTCATTATGTCTCCTGCTCACGGAGAGAGAGCAAACGTTAGGTTACAGCTCTCCGGGGTTTAGAGCGCCGCTTCCATCAAAAGCAATAAACAGGAGATTATGTTTGCGGAGTGAAGTGACCTGGACGGTGTGGGTGCTTGCCGGGTCAAAGCGGTGTCCGGCACTGGCATGCAGTGGCCCGACTGACCCACTTTCAGACGCAAAGTGCTCTTAGGACTCAAAAATAGACAAGATCACCCAGCAATTACTGCTATTAATATTTCAACTTATTGAGGAGGGGTCCTGCATTCCACAGGCCCTGCGTTCCCACATATTAACAGTGCTGGGGTGAAACCCAAGCCATGGCATTAATCTGCATTCCAATACTGCCCCAGGGTGCAGAGCAGTTTCTCTCTGTTGTAGGAAAGCCATTAGTAACAT